TGTTAGCAGACAGTTGGTCAGGACTATACACAGCACAATTACCATAAGCAGTTTGTTCCATGTAAATGACACCATACTTGCAAACTCACAGCTAAAACTTTAACGTTAAATGAACTTGCAAAGATGCTTACACTACCTCTTGAAGCAGGGGGGAATGCTTATACTTTATACTAACATAACAACTACTACACAGACTAGTCTTTATCTTAAACTATTATTTAACTACTTTTAACACACATGCTCTGGTATATATGTAGTCTAAGCGTGAAAGCAATTTGTTGAAAGGACAAACACACAACTACAATTTGCTTTATATAGAGTTAGATGGAGTTTCTACACTTTTCTTAGATCTTCTACAGAATTTCTCTCACAAACAGACTATGATTTAACACGATTCAGTCTTGAAACGTTCACTGCTCCCATGATGTCAGCTGGCAGCTGAGCCGTGACTGAGGGCTTTGATGTTCAAGTTGTTCTTCACATCCTTCTAAATCTTAAAACAGAAGATAACTGAAAAAATTGGTAGAGACACAACATCATAATAACAACATAAAATTTCTGTTGGCAGCTGTCTGTGTAGTGTTCAGTCACAACTGTGTCCTGACAGCTCCACTTCTGATCCATATCTGGAGTACCAAGGCTGTGTGGTGACTTCTCTGTTCACTGGATCTCATGTTCAGAGGCACACAGTCTGGTCAGATGAACAGGTGACCTTTTTGAACCTGCCAACAAACACAGACACTTCTCCCCTTGAAGTTAATGAATTACGTTCATACAAATGCTTCAAAGGTATCAATTTCCCCCGTTTTTTTTTTTTTAAAAAAAAGAGATGTACTTCTGTTATACACATCAACATTAACACAAAACCATATACACAATGAATAAGAACTTATAGCAGTTAAAAATCCATTAAATTAAATTATTAATAACATATGTAATATAAAACTATTAACTACTAAAACACTGCACCAGCATCTTATAGTCTGCAAACAAACAGAAACAACAAAAAAATCAGTGAAGGATTGGATAATCACCTCCGGAAATGATTCTCCAAGACCACTTCAAAATTGATCCAGCTGTCATATTAATAGGGTCAAATTGCTGAGTCAAAAAGTGACTCAAATACTGACTTGGTACAGAAAACATCTGGATCTGTTGGCAAACATTCTCTCCAGGTAAAGTCAAGGCTTGGCCAGGGCCTGGCTTTAAACTGGAAAGATGCCTCTTAACTCATTTCTAGAACAAGGTTCTCAGTAGTAGCAGCTATGAGATGCTTACAGCACAGCAAACTGTTAAAATGCATTTGTACAAAGCAAATGATCAGAAGCCTTAGGTACCAGACCAATTAAACCATGCAGCAGTTGGTTTAATCTGAAGCCTTTCCCATGGCAGCTGATCCTCAGCAATGGTACATCTTCTTAAAATTCTGGAAACACTGAAAAATAAGAGAGCTATAACAAACCAAAACTGCAGAGATTGCAACAACCAATAGAACTCCCGATGAAGTCAAGGGTGTCACGGAGTGCATTTGCTTCTATCCACAAGCAGGTGTTCATCAGTGTTCTGTCACAGCTGTTTCAGTTGTAGCTATCTTCATTTCTCTAGGAAAATAACTATACTTTGCAGTTTAAACAAGTGTCTCCAATAAAACATAAACCAATTTAAATTAAACAATATTTAAACCTAATAAAATTAATTATAACTAACGGAAATGAAAAAACTTGACCTTAAAGGAATATCTAAGTTATAAAACTTAACTTAAAAACATTCAAGCCTAAACATAATAAAACTTGACTTCTTAATTCTATTAACACTTAATCGATATTAAATAAAAACATAACTTAATCTTATTCTGTTACTACAAAAGGCAGCTAAAAGTTTGATATATACCTTTTAAACACCATATAACAATAACGTGGATTCACTATAAAGATCATAAAAATGTAACAAATACATCACAATTCTATGTCATCTAGCTTTGAGAATAACTCACAGTAACTGCAAATGTTACTAAAAATACTTATTCATAATAGGAATTTTCCTAGTATATGCTTAAATTGGTTAGGATTTTAAAGTGCAATTTTTCTAGAGAAAAAACCACAACAACATAGGATTTAGCAAGTTGCCATTCAGCTTTTGTAGCATTTTTCAGAAGCATCAAGTTCAATTCTTAAACTAAAATCCAAAATCCAAATTGGTATATATGCAGTTATATGTGTTTTATATACCAAAAGAACTCATATTGAAATTACCTTATTAAAATTGTGGAACAAACAAGCAAATAGATAATATATACTCTAACTTAACTTTGTCTTGTACAGTAAAGTTCTCTTAACTAACTATTTTTTAAACCGCAAATCTCTTCTGTAGATAACATTAATTGGAAGGTTTTCTTAGAAGCTGTAAATCACACCATATTTTAACCTTAGGTTCTAAAACCAATTATTGCAAGGCAACTTCTGTTAATATTCACGTTAAACACCCTTTTCTTTTTTTTTTTTTTTAACCTTCAAAGAATCACAATAATTTCTCTGGTAAAACTCTAAAAACTGCAACTGCATCAACTCATAATTACTTGAAACACAAAATTAACTCTAAAAGGGTATATAAAAATATTTGGAAAACCCAATAAATCATGACTTTGTAACAAACTGGGTATTATCCTGGTGCTTTTTCTTAGAGAGGGAGCTGGGGGTGGACTGCCCGCCCTGCTGCTGCTGCTGCAGCTCTGCTCTTATCTTCCTTCACATCCTCCACATACTCTCACAGAGAGGAAAAATGGAGAGAAAGAAAAAAGAACCTCACAAAGTTAACTTTAACAAATGCAGTTTTTTCTCTCAATTTCTCTCTCGCTGTTCGCAGATGGAGGAAAAAAGGGCAGGATTTTTACAAAAGCAGGCGATGTTACACAAAAAGTCTCTCACGGCCAGGTGCTGAGAACGGCGATCATTGCAGCTCATCAGCGTGGCCTTGGAACTTTTCTTGCGCTGCTTCTGTCCCCAGGGTGCCTTTGTTCTCTGCTCACACCTCAGTGCTTCCCCATGCCCCCCTGGTTCGGGTGGAAACCAGTCTAAATTTGGCTTCTTTTCTTCCAGGGTAGCAAAGTTGGAACTTAAATAAGATGGTAGTGTTAAAAGCGACTCCAAAAGTAAAGCAAATAGTTCCGGATGTATCACATCCTGCCGTAACTGAACAGATTCTGTTCATTGTTTCAGCGTTCGCTGTGGAATTTCTTTCTCAGTATTTTCTTCTCCCTAACTCTCCTTCCCTCTTTCCACGGACAGCATAGATAGGAGTGCTTGCCCAGCAGTGGGAGGTAAAGGGATCTGCCACTGTGACACAGGTAGAATTACGGGGCTCACAGCCTCAGCATATCTCGCTTTTCTGTTTTTTAAGGTATAAATTACAATCTGCCAAGTTCGACCGAGAGACAGAGTGCCCTTGCTCTTTTCCGTGATTGCCGTTTCCCAGATCAGAACCGATATATCAGTCGGTTCATTCACTGCAAAGAGCAGTGAGGGCACTGCCAAATGCCCATGACAATTAGCCCATATAATGAGCATATCCAGTCTTTTTCCCGGGCTGCTCCGCCTCGTTTAACGAGAAAGCTAATGAGCAGTTTTTTCGCCGCTGCAAATTCCACATCCATGCTAGCGGCAAACGATGGAGGGGAAGGTCGTGACCCCTCTACTATGCCCTGGACCTTGTTCTCCCCCAGCAACCTGAATTTCCACGTCCAACCGCACCGCGTCCCACCGTGCTCAGGTTGCCTATCCGGTACCGATCCGCGCCTGCGGCTTCCCGAGCCCAGATCTGCTCCACCAGCTTCAAAGCCCCCCTGCCTGCAGGAGGTCCATGTTTGAAGCGCCAAATATTGAAAGACCGCCAGTTTATTCACCAACCTTCACAGAAATAAATGTGAACGCCGTTTATTTCTATCTTTAGCACACCTTTTATAGGGTTCTACAGGGTCCGCTGGCTAAGCAAATTACCATTGGCTAATACACACAGGTTTACATTTTTTCTCCTGTACACAAGGATATTGTTTTGCTTTACTCTCTCATCTGCAGGAACGTTTCAAGGACTTTAGCCTTTAATATCACAACTTATTTCAAAGACTGAGGACTTTAGCCTTTAATATCACAACTTATTTCAAAGACTGCTTGTGCAGACAGGCCTTTACTAGTGTATAAATTATATCAACACAAAAGTGTGAAATAATCCCACAAAATTCCCGAAATCTTCTCAAAACCCCACCAAATTCCAGAAACATCCCACAAAATCTCCACAAATTTCCACACAATCAAGAAAAATTCTTTCAAAATTACTCAAGTCTACACAAAAAATCCTACAAAATCCAGAAAATTCCAAAAAATTCCAAAAAAAAATCATACAAGATTCAATAAAAATCCTTCTAAAGTATTTAAAATTACTCAAAATGCAACAAAATTCTTGAAATGCCCAAGAAAATTTACTCAAAATCCCACCAAATTCCAGAAACATCCCACAAAATTCCAGAAAAATCTTCCCAAAACCCAACCAAATTCCAGAAACATCACCCAAAATCTCCACAAATTTCCACACAATCTAAGAAAAATCTTTCAAAAATACTCAAGTCTTCACCAAATCCCACTAAAAATCCAGAAAATTCCACAACATTCCAAAAGAATCCTACAAAAATCCAGAAAAATCCCTCAAAATTCTTGAAATGCCCAAGAAAATTTAATCAAAATCCAAAAAAAACCCACAAAAATCCACAAAAATTCCAGAAACATCCCACAAAATGTCTTAAAACTTCTCAAAACCCATCAAAATTCCGGAAACCTCCCACAAAATCTTTACAAACTTCAAGAAAATCTAAGAAAAATCCCTCAAAATTTTTCAAGTAATCTCAAAATCCCAAAAAATTCCACAAAAAATCCCACAAAATTCAAGAAAATATCCCGCAAAATTCCCTAAATCTTCTCAAGACCCTACCAAATTTCAGAAACATCCCACAAAATTCCACAAAATCCATAAAATTCCAGAAAAACCCTACCAAATTCCCTGAATCTTCTCAAAACCCTACCAAATTCTAGAAACATCCCACAAAATTGCAACAAATTTCCATACAATCTAAAAAATTTCTTTCAAAATTACTCAAGTCTTCACTAAAACTCCTACAAAATCCCAGAAAATTCCACATCATTCAAAAAAAATCTTACCAAATTCCAGAAACATCCCACAAAATCTCCACAAAAATCCATAAAATTCCAGAAAAACCCTACCAAATTCCCTGAATCTTCTCAAAACTCTACCAAATTCCACCTGAAACATCCCATAAAATCTCCACAAATTTCCACGCAATCTAAGAAAAATCCATCAAAATTCTTCAAGTCGCCTCAATATCCCACAAAATTCCACAAAAATCCCACAAAATCTCCACAAATTTCCACACAATCTAAAAAAAAATCTTTCAAAATTTCTCAAGTCTTCCCAAAAAATCCTACAAAATCTTAGAAAATTCCACAACATTCAAAAGGAATCGTACAAAATTCCAGAAAATTCCCACAAAATTCCACAAACATCCCACAAAATGCCTTAAAACTTCTCAAAACCCAACCAAATTTCAGAAACATCCCACAAAATCGAAATGAATTTCCACAAATATAAGAAAAATACCACAAAATACTTCAGGTCTCCTCAAAGTTCCACAAAATTCCACAAAAATCACACAAATTCCAGAAAAATTTTCTCAAAACCCAACCAAATTCCAGAAACATCCCACAAAATCTCCACAAATTTCCACACAACCTATAAAAAATTTTTTTAAAATTTCTCAAGTCTTTCCAAAAAAATCTACAAAATCTTAGAAAATCCCACACCTTTGCAAAAAAATCCTACAAAATTCCAGAAAATTCCACAAAATCCCAGAAACATCCCTCAAAATTCCAGAAAATCCCACAAAATTACACAAATCTCCTCAAAATCCCATGAAATTTCAGACAAATCCCACAAAATTCCGTAAATCTTCACAAAACCCCACACAATTCCAGAAAAACCTCACAAAAGCTCCTCATATTCCCCAAAAATCAAAAATCCCTCAAAGTTCTTAAAATCTCCTTAAAATCCAAAAAATATTCCAGAAAATTCCACAACATTCCAAAAAAATCCCACAAAATTGCACAAAAATCCAACAAAATTCCCTACATATTCACAAAAGCCCACACAATTCCAGAACCATTCCACAAAAGCTCCTCAAATTCCCACAAAATTCCAGGAACATCTTACAAAATTCTTTTCATTTTCTCACAGTCCCCCAAAATTGAAGAAAAATCCCACAAAATTCTTGAAAAGCCTCACAAAATTCCACAAAATTCCCATGAAATTCCATAAATCTTGGCAAAACCCCACAAAATTCCAAAAACATTCACAAAATCTCCTCAAATTCCCACAAAATCCCACAAAAATCCCTCAAATTTCCCCAAATCTCCTTTAAATCCCACAAAATTCAACAAAAATCTCACAAAGTTTCCTACATTTTCTCAAAATCCCACGTGTGATGGATTGACATTGCAGAAAACAAAGGGAAAAACCTAAGGAAGTTCAAGCTGCTGGAGGCTGAGAGGAGTTTTTCTTCTTGCCAACAAGTGGCCATTGCTGAGAACTGACAGCAGTTTGGACCATTGAAAAGTGACATCAACCTGGGAACACCACTTGAAGACCTAAGGCCGGCAATTTCTTGCTCTCTTTGCTTTGCGCCTTTTCAAGAGGTAGCAGGGCTCGGCTTCAACCTCCTTCCCCCCAGGCCAGCCAAGGCCATGGGAGGGGAGTGGGGCTGGCCACAGCTCTGCGCTTCCTGGGGAGGATGGAGACTGGCAAGTGACAGGAGCCCCTTCTCAGAGGCTTCGCTGGGCCTTGCACAGCGGGGCTGCCGGGCCAGGCCGCTCCCTGCCTGGCCTGCACTTTGTGCCGCTGCTCAGTTTCACCACAGGCTGCCCACTAAAGGCAGGGAAAGATATGAGCTTGCAGCTTTGTGCTCAGATAATGGCCACACTCCCCACAGCAGCCATGGAAAAAAATCTTCTCATGCAGACAGCTCCAGCCGCTGCTCCGGCAGAGATCCCGGGACCATCCACAAGGCCGGGGCAAGAGTTTAACCTGCTCACTACTCAGATGTGACTTGCAAATCCATCCTTTTTTCCAGAGATAGGGGAAGAGAGAGAGAGTGATCAACATGGAAAGAGACAGCATAAACTGTTGTGAGGTGCTTCAGGAAGGCAAAGAGTTAGTTTCAGATAAGCATTGTTACAGGAGAGGCATGGCTGTAAGCCAAGCTAGTGAATTTTGACCTCCTTCTTTGGGGGATGGGTGTGTGAGCCTTGGATGAAGTTGTCCCACCCAAACCCCTTGTGAAGGGTGGCCCAGGGGTTCTGATTGGGTTTGAGTCCCTGGGGGGTTTCTCCCTTGTTGTGTTTCTAGTGGTCCCTAACGCTGAACTCCACCCTCAAGGGTGGAGACCCTCAAGAAACTCCACCCTCAAGGGTGGAGACCCTCAAGACTTCTATCCCTCAAAAACCCCTGCCCTGCCTTTGTTGGGGGCTCTCTATTCTGGATCTGAGTTGTTCCCATGCTGAATAAATGGTTTCATGAACAGAGGCGCCTCTGGTTGTAGTACATGCCGCTTTCCAGAAAATAACATCCCTAGACCTGATCCTGAGGTTGCAGACTACAACAAATAGTGGAGAATGCATGGCATCCAGTGAGGCACCAGAAGAACAGCAGGAGCGGCTCCATGGACACTCTGTAAATCCCCGGCTGATGGCTTGAGAGCCGGCAAGACTCCCGCCTTAGAAAGGAAGACTCGAGAGTGCCTGGCAGGGGGGCCAAGTTGGGAGTGCCTCAGAGGCATGAGGGAAAAGGGCTTATGGAGGTAGGGGAGCCGAGAGACCAGACACTGGGGCAAACATCTAACATCACCCAACGAGATGTATTATGGAGGGTTTTGGTTTTTTTATATACATGGGAAGGACCTTTATGGACGATATTAACATTATGGACGATTATGGCCCTTCCTGTGGACTGTTTTTTGGCTTCTGTGAAGTCCCTCATATTTTTTTGGTGTATACCTCCCTGTATCTTCCCCTCTCCTATGTTCCTAAGGGTGAAAAATGCCAAGATGGCCCGGGGTTGCTGCCGACTCCCCGTCACCCCGGTGTCTTTCTGCCATCCCATCCTGTTTTCCTGAAGGCAGGCAAGGGATGGAGAACATCCAGAGTGATGTGGGTCTGCTGCCGTCTGCCTGCCGTTCCGTGTCCTCCTTCACCCCCTGTCTTTCCATATTCCCATTCCCTGTCTGGGAAAGTCCATCCCGGACCCTCCCCCCTTCCCAAGATGGCGCTGACCACGCAGTCTGGGATTCTTTTTTTCCCCGCCTTGTTCCTTCTTTTCCAACCCCCAACCTTCCCTTCCCCCAGTAACTCCTGCTTCGCTCCCACCCCACTCTTCGGCTACTCCACCCCTGGGGGCTGTGCCTTTTCCATGGTGGGCAACACGCCCTCCGGGGAAATCGAAACTGGAACCGAGCTCTGAAAGTCAGCTCAGTTTCACCAAGAACATCTCAAGTGGCGACGCCCACACCTACGAGACCAGAGCTGAAGCTGGAGATCTAAGAACTCTGCCCCTCGTGAGAGGAGATCTAAGAGCTGCGCCCTGCCTGAAAGAAACTCCAGAACTGGAAGTGACTGAACTAAGAAACTATTACATTTTTATTAAGTACCATCACTGTTTAATTGAAGTGATTGTTTTTAATTCTGGTTTTTTTGTTTGTTTGTTTGCTTAATGTGTTTTGTTATTGAGTTTTTAGTGTCCCACAAAGCAAAGCGGGTGCTGTGTGGAGGAGGTGAGATTTTATGGTGTAAGTTTTGGAAACATTTTTAAGCTCCTAATTAAAATTTGAAGGGAAAAAAAATAAAAAATAAAAAGGAGCAGATGTTGTGACGTGCCTCAGGGGAGGCAACGAGTTCCAGTGTCCCACCCCAAACCCCTTGTGAAGGACGGCCCAGGGGTTCTGATTGGGTTTGAGTCCCTGGGGGGTTTCTCCCTTGTTGTGTTTCTAGTGGTCCCTAACGCTGAACTCCACCCTCAAGGGTGGAGACCCTCAAGACTTCTGTCCCTCAAAAACCCCTGCCCTGCCTTTGTTCAGGGCTCTTTGTTCTGGATCTGAGTTTGTTCCCGTGCTGAATAAATGGTTTCCTGAAGAAAGGCCCGTCTCGCTGGTGTTCCATGCTGGTCCCCAGAACCCTGCGGCTTCCCTGGCCGAGATCCTGAGGTTGTGGACTGCAACAGATGCCAAGGTTGGAGAAGTTGGTGCGAAAACTCGACTTTGCGCTGTCAATGTTCTGAGTGTTGAGCCAGCACCAAATCTGTGCAACTCTATGGGAAGGAAATAATAAGGAAATAATAAGGAAAAATGACATCATTGAAACAAGGAAATGCTCTTGGCACTTGATGTGCACAAATGCACAGCAGGACAGGAAGAGCAGAGCAGGTACAAGCTGCCAGTACGTGCAGAAGAATGAACGGAAGTAACTTCCTTTTTAGGTTGGAAATTCAGAGAAAATTTGAAGCCATCCAGAAGGGTGTTGAAGTGAAGCAGCTGTCTAGTGACAAGAGACAGATGGAGAAGTGAAACCCCAAATGAAAGGCTTTGAATGTGGAGTTTTTTGGATGGTGGGGTCTTTAGAAACAGATCTTGTGAATCCCATGGGTGATGCAGGCGGCTTGCCAAGGGAGCATCCCTGTCCCCAGGCCAGGGAGCTGCTGCTCTGGTCCCACAGGGTGCTTTGGGTTGTACCTGATGGCTCAGCAGAGCTTGGGGAAATGCCTCAATGTTTTTTAGATTTGAATGGCATTTGGGTCAAATCCAATTTCTCCTCTGCGGGATGAAGTCTTCAGCTCTGACGGGTTTCACTTGAACATTTCTTTAATCTTTGCCCCTGCCCAAAAACCCCCCAGCAGATCCCCTGCTCCTCCCACTCTGTGTCTGCCACAGCTATGATCCTTGGAGCTTTTCCCTGAAACTAAAAGAACTGGAAATTGGCTGGGTTTTGTCACCTCTTGGCAACAAAATTGTCCGCTGTTGTGCAGCTCAGGGGGAAAGAAACTTCTTCCTCCCTTCAGTTTGCTGCAACCAAGTGTTTTGTTCCTCTTGGTGAAGAACTGGGAAGAAAGACTTCTTTTTAAGCTGAGGGAGCCAAATTCAATTTCCTTCTCATTTGGAGCAAAATCACCAAGTTATTTATGTTGAAAGTAGCTCCAAAATTTTTAAGAGATCTTTTGAGAAAATATTTCTCTTGGTGACTGATTACAAGTGGGTATGAGAAGAAACTCTTTGCCTTGAACCATTCAAAGCAGTAATTTCTTCCCAAAGAGTAGAAGCAATTACATTTTCTGGGTGGAAAGAATAACATAACATAACATAACATAACATAACATAACATAACATAACATAACATAGTAGTGGACCAAAGGAGCTTAAAGCCAATCTCCATGTGCTGCCAATGACTGAATTAAATGCACAGGGCTCCTATCAGCTGTGCCAGACAAATCGTTCTTTTTGGCTTCTTGGGGGTTTTGTCAGAAATCTTTGTAGCACCAATAGTTCATAGACTTCTCTCTGCTGGCTTCAGCCATTCCTGCTGCCCATTGTATCTTGCTATTAGAAGGCAGCTCTTTTCATGATGTTGTCTTTGAAGTCAGATAGCTGAGCCTTTTTCTACTTCTAGCCCCAGTTTTCAGTAGGACCAACATTTTCTTGTCTGGGAGTGTATTCAGTGGTGGCCACACGAGTGAAGGCAAGGAGCTGGCAGGTGATAATTGATGAAACTTCCTGTAGTGGGAAAAACTCAGCATTCAATTTCCATCTCCTTAGAAATCTCAATTTTTCTTTCTTTTCCTGCCTCTTGTGCTCTTTGTGGCTGCTCTGAGTTTAGTCCTTCAAAATGCAATTCTATGGATCCAAATGATTGGGAAACAGAATAATCTTGTACATCAAACCAAATCAATTTAACTTTCCAATATGAAGGCAGTTTGACATCCAGGCTTGGGGGTAGCTGGCAGTAGTTAGTGCCTGGCCAATGACAGAAGATAGAGTTCGTCTGATTGAGGTGAAATTTCATTCACTGGAGACAAAGTCAAATTGCCTCTTATTTGCTCAGCACTACAAATCCATTTGAAGCTGGTTGCCAAGACTTGCTGCAAGTGCTGAGTGATGGGATAAAGCCCTGCAATGGCACCATGAAATGGGAGAGCTGCAGAGAAATCTCAAAGAATGGCATTTCCAAGCATTTTCAGGCGCTGATGTTCTGCTGCTGGCTTGGTGCTGTCCAAGGGGCTGATTTGAATGGTTTTAGAGGAACTAAGCTGGGCAGTGAAATGCACCTCAGGCAGAAAATGCATCTCTGGTCTCTGCAAGTGCCTTTATCTCCCTTCATGCTGCTCAGCACTGAAATTCTGTAAGGACTGAGAGAATCTGAGGCTTTGGGAATGCCCAAGAGTGAGAGACTGGTGAGATTTGACTCAGGAGATGGAAGCAGCAGCAGAAGGTGCTGTCATCTTCATCCTTGTGTTCTTCTGCATGCTGATGCGTCATGAAGGAGGCAGGGATTGCATCAAGTACCTTCTGTATCTCCTGTGGCAAATTCTTTCATTTCTCAGAGTTTCAGGCATGTGTTGTGTGGCTGTGCTGCACCCCAGGGCCAGGCTCTGCCTCTCTTTGCTCTGGCTGCTGCTTCCAAGCTGTCCTCTGTGATTTTGATTTGCAAGCCACCTCTCTGACCAGCTTCCACTTTGCTTGAAAAATTCAGCACCATGTTGGGGGCTGAACAAGTCCCAGAGCTGGGGAGAAGGATTTGAGCTGCAATTTGCATCACAGAGTTCTTACAGTGGGGGAAATGTCACATCCCTCCTGTGCCTGGAGATGCTAATCTTGTTGTAAACATTGAAAAGCTCTTCAGCTTCTCTCATTCTACCTAAATTTGATTCCTGCATTGATTTCACACCTCTTTCATGCAGGTTTTCCCTCTGTCCTTGGCTAGAATTGTCAGGCCTGAGAAATTTGGTCGAGCCTTGGGACCAAATCATCTATCCCTGCTCCTAATGCTGCTTTGAATTCTCTTGGGATAAATCTGAGCATGAGGGAAACTGGGGGGACTTTAGTGAGAGGAAAAGTGAGGCACAGAGGCTGAAGTGCAAATG